CCAGCTCCTTGGGGATGGGTCCTGCACAAGAATGCAGCAGGGAGCAAATATCAGCGAGTACAGTTGTAGAAAAAAATGCGCTGAGGAAAAGATTTACCACGAATGCCGCGTATGTGATGGGCGTCATGAAAGTTATCCCGCTAGTTCTGAAGTTTCGTGGACGCGTACGCATTGGCGTCCACGAAACTTCAGAAATAGCGGGTACGAAATTTCACAATTTCGGAACTCGCGGGACATCTTTTCCTACGCATTTTTTTCTACAACTGTCCTCGCTGATATTTGCTCCCTGCTGCATTCTTGTGCAGGACCCATCCCCAAGGAGCTGGGAGCACTTAGTAGGCTGGAGATTCTTTGGCTCGACGACAACAACCTCACAGGTGAGAGAATCGAAGAGGAGTTGAAAGTTTTCTTGTTCACGAAATAAGAATCCTGCCGACGCGTTGGCGTCCTCTTGAAATCGAGAGGCGGGATAGTATTTTTTTTTTTTGTCGCGCTTGATTTGTATCGCCCTCCTGCTCGCAGGCCCCATCCCGCGGGAGCTCGGGAACCTCGCAGCGCTGCGAGACCTCAACCTTAGCTACAACAAGCTGAGCGGTGAGTTATGGAGCGCAACATGATATGTGCATGATATTTGCAAATTCGGAGGAGACAAAAGAAAAATCCCCGCGCTTTCCGTACAAAAGTTTCGTGGACGCCAACGCATCGGCGAGATTCATCCATGGATTAAAAAATTAAAACCGACCATCAAAATAAAGTAGGTACCCGTGAGGTGGTTGTCGCTGAGCCACAGCCTCTGCAGCTCTCGGAGATCTCCTAGCTCTGGCGGGATGTTGCCTGCCAGACGAAGGGAAAACAAGAAGTTGGCGGGAGAAAACAAAATTAATCTCCCGGCGTCTAGAAAAACGGTCCTGCCAACGCGTACACAGGACTCACGATATTTTTGTGCAAAATCATGAGTGGCAAGCAATTTTCGATGTTTTGCTACTCACCGCTTAGCTTGTTGGCGCCCAGGGCGAGCGACGTCAGTGCTCCAAGGTTTCCGAGCTCCGGTGGGATGGGGCCTGCAAGCAGAAGAGCAAAAACAAAATGAGCGGGGAAAAAAAAAAAAAAACTCCGATGCGTAGCAAAAGATGTCCCGCGAGTTTCGTACTCACCCACGCATACACGGGATTCATCCTGGAAATTCATAGGCATTTTTTTTAGCTCATCCGAACAGTGTCTCACCGCTTAGCTGGTTTCCAGAAAGGTTGAGCCTCTTCAGTACTGAAAGGTGCCCAAGCTCCGATGGGATGGGGCCTGCAAGCGGACGGACGGAACGGAGTAGCTGAGCGGGACAAAAGAAAACAACCCCCCGCTTTCTAGAACATTGGTCCCGTACAAAAGTTTCGTGGACGCCAACGCGTGGGCGGGACACGATCTACGGAGATCGCCTGTACATGTTCTAGAAGCCACGGGACACGTTCTGGACTCTCTAAACTTTGACTTTGGTGTGCTGCAGGTACCATTCCCCCTGAGTTGGTGCCCTGAGTACGCTCGATTTGGAGTCCAATGCGCCAACAGTTGAGAACACATCGAGCAAGATTGAATACTGTTGTTATTTTCTGAACAAGACGGTCTCCGTAGTTGCTGTCCCGCCCACGTAGGCGAGTATGTGTGTTTTAGAACCGGCACAGCCACAGCTATTCAGGAGAAATGTAATAAAAATTCAGTGACTCTTGCCGGTGAGGTTGTTTCTGTATATCCATAGCTCCTTCAGCTTAGTACCCCAGCCCCATTGGTATAGGCTCCAGGAAGTAGGGCAAAGGACGCGAAGAGTCCCTCACTAAAAAGCAGGAATCCCAAACGGTGCCTGAGAAAGATAACAAGCTGAGGCCGGCCGGTGTTGTAGTCTTTTCACTCGTGGACGATCATACGAAGTGTGTGGGACTAGAACCTATTGCTGCGTGTAGGCAATATTTGGAGAAGAAGCGGTGATATTGAGCTAAATTCCAGCAGCAGGAGGTTTGCAACAACACAGACAGGTAGCACGTGCACGGTCTATCCCCTTCATCACCATAAAGCGAAGCACCATGTACCCTATCAAAAAATGGATATATAGATCGAGGGTGTAACCGTGGGATCTTTGAGCTGTGCGTAATATTTGGTGGTATCGATTTGAATTATCAACAGGTGATCCACCGGGGCGGAGCATATAGATGTTGATGTGCTCGAAAACACCATATTAGCGGTAGCGTAGTTGTTTATTTGTGTGGGGACCGCAGTAGATATATGCGTTTCGGGCATGTTTCTATCTCTCGGCTCCTCTCTCCACCTCTTTCTCATCCGGCTTGTTTCTCTCTACGACTACAGGAATGTACCTTACAATAAACACTACTATACTCTATTGGTCTAGACACGCACTACTGCGGCCTTGTTTTGGTGCCGGTCTGACCGTCAACCAAGCTGGGTTGGGTTTGGGGTTTTGGGTTGGGGTTGGGTTGGGTTATGGTGGTAGGGTTGAAGTTGGGTTGGTGGGGGTTGCGGGTTTTAGGGGCGAGTTGGGTTGGTGTTGAGTTGGAATGTGTTGGGTTGGGTTGGGTTGGGTTTTGCTGGACAGTGTAAGGTGGGTTGGGTCGGTCGGTCGGTCTGTCGGATTGGGTTGGTTTTTGAGGGTAGGGCAGCGTAGGGTTGGGACGGTCGATTGGTCGGTCGGGCGAGCAGTAAGGTTTTGGGTAGGGGGTTATTTTGTTGTGCAGGGTAAGGTAAGGAAGGTTGGGTCGGTGGTCGGTCGGTCAGTCGGTTTGGGTTAGGTTGGGTTTGGACGGGTAGGGTTGAGTTGATCGGTTGGCCGGTCGGGTTGGTTTGGGTTGGGCTGGATTGGGTTTGGATTGTGGGTTGGGTCGGTCGGTCGGTCGGGTCGGGTTGGCTTGGGTTGGGTCGGTCGGTCGGTCGATCGTGCGGCCTTGGGCCACACCGTCGTCGATCGCGCCGCTGTCGCCTCGTCGTTCGTCGCCGTTGGGGTTGGGTTGGGTTGGGCAGGGTAGGGTAGGGTCGGTCGTTCAGTCGGGCGGTCGATCGAGCGGTCTGGGTCGTGCGTACTTCGTGATCGCTCGGTCGGCCCCTACGCGGCACCTCTATCTATGTACATGTTTCTACATCTATATACATGTTTGTCATCTCAGTGCCCAGTGACAACCGTTGTGGCGGAGTGTTTTCGTGGGTTGGCGTGTATGGGTTATTTCTGTAGGAAGACTTGGTTGGGCGTATTGGTTTCAAACATCGCTTTATGCATGTTGCAGTCGTTCAGTTCGGTTCAGGCGAGTGTTGTGGGTTGTTTTTACTGTTGTGGTGTGGGTTCGTCTCTGCCCGACCGTGTCAAGGTTGGGTTGGGTTGGGTTGAGTTACAGGTTGGGTTGGGAGATTGTCGTACTTTTGGTGTTGCTGCCTTTGACAGTGAAT